AAAAAAAAAAAAAAAGGAGGAAAAAGAAATACCCCAAACGCCTCCCGCTGCCCCAGCTCCAACAGCCTGGCACCAAACCCTGCGCTCCTGGGCAGGGGCCGGGGCCAGCGGCCCCCCCGGCCGCCCCAGGGGACACTCGTGGCCCTTGGGGGAGATGTGTGTATATATATATATAATTTTGGAGATTTAATGTCCGCGCAGCACCACAGGCCCCTGCCGCGGCCCGGCCCCAGCTGCGGGCGCGAAACCCCGCGCCCAGGCGCCAACTGCTCTTCCCAACGCCTCCCTCTTTTATTTATTTAAATAAAACTTCAGAATAAATCGCAAATATAAATAGAGATTTACATATAGCTCTTTTAAATAGGCGGATCGCGCCTCTCGCTCGCTCCCGGGGCGCGGGGGGGAGAGGAGCGTTTGGGGTGGGGGGCAAGCAGGGGGACTTGGGGTGGGGGTGCTGCCGGAGGGGGGGTCCCTCCACAGGGACCCCCAAAATGCTAATGGAGAAGGGGAAAAAAAATAAGCGAAATCAAGCCCTTTTCCTGCAGAAGAAAGATAATTTCCTACTTGCCCCCCCGCCACTGTCCCCCTCTCCATCCCCTGGCACCCGCTGGGGTTCCCACGGGTCTCACTAGTGCAAAGAGCAGCGCCTCTGGGCGCTGCGGGGGTTATATATATATTTTTTATATATATATATATATATATATATATAATATATATTTATTTTTGGTTTTGGAGGCGATTTGTGGATATCCCGAGGCTGCCGGCTGCCTCGGTTTCCCTCTTCTCCTGTGGGAAGGGGGGTGCGTCCACCTGGCAGCTGGGGGAAGCAAAAAAGCCCCAAATGATCCTCAAAATCACCAGCCCGGGGGGACCTGCTGGGACCAAGAAAGCGGCGCTCCCTGTGCCGCCCCCTTGGCCTTTCACGTTTGCTTTGAAAGGAGATTCTTTTTTCCCATCTGGCATATATATATATTTATATATTTATATATTTATACTTTTATATACATATAAATATATATATAGTAAAAATATATATTTTTCAAAATGTTTCCTTTTTCCCCTCATTGCTTTCTCGCCTCCTCAAATGTCGGCCTCCAGTGATATCTTTGGCAACACTTTATCACAACCTGAACATCGGGGGGGAATAAAAAAGAGCAATGATGCCGAGAAAAAAAAAAAAAAAAGGCGTATATACAGTCTTTTTTGGGGTTTTTTTGGTGGAGGGGAGGCTCTCATGCGCTGCTGTGGCCCTCGTGGGCAAGTGTGTGTTAGGGAGGTTAAGGCAGACGAACGTGGCGCGCGGGGCTCGCTGCACTGGGCACTGAGCACCCTAGGAGGGAATTCTTTTGGGGGGGGGCTCATTCTTTACACACACATCCATATATATATATGTATATATATATTTATCATAGTGCAAACTCACCGAGGCTTGTGCTAAAGTGTTGCCAGCCAGGGGGGCAGCGGGAGCCCCCGGGGATCCTTCCACCCGCTCGTCCCGCCGCCGCCGCCGCCGCTAGGCTGGGACTAGGGGCGGCAGGCCGGGCTTAGCTGCGGGCCGGGCCGGGGTGCGGGCACGCTCGCTCTCACCAGCAATCCTGAGACTATTGATCTGGTTTTTATTTTTTCTTTTGGGGCAGGAATTAGCGGGGCGGGGGGCACTTTGTTTCCAAAGTGGC